AGCAGCAGCGAAGCAGCAGCAGCAGCAGCAGCAGCGGCAGCGGCAGCGGCAGCGGCAGTAGCAGAGGCAACAGCGGTCGTTCTCGACGTCGTGGGGGTAGTGGCAGCAAGTCGCAGCTGCAAGGTAGTACTTAGCAAGAAGTGTGTAGTAGGTGGTAGGTAGTCGGCAGTCGGTAGTAGGTAGCAGGTAGTGTGTAGTGATCGTGGTCAGCGGCAAAAACTGTCATGCACCATGGCAGTGCTTCGTGGCTACTTTAGACGAAACAGCAAGCGACAGCTGAAGCTATGAAAGATGCCAATCGCCTCCGCAATCCGGCCCAAACCCCAGGCACTCTGATCGAAGATCGTCAAATTAAAAGTGAGAGCACTGTGTAGCCTCAGCGCCGTGAGGTGTCGAAAAATGCTACTGTAGGGCAGCAGTTGGCCAGCAAGCATCCAAGGGCTCTCCAACTCAAACTCCCACAAGCAACAGGCCGCAGCAGCCGTGTCAGGATATCCCTTGATGACATTCGGCAGCTGCCGGCACACCTGGGAAGAGAAGTCCCGTGCGGATACTCCTACTTTAAGGCACAGCATCATACCGTAGGAAGCCTGACAGACGTGTAAACCTAATGAGCTGCAGCGTCATGCCTCGTAATATCCTTTGACTTTGATATGCTCCCTAGCACTAAAGCGGCTGGTGGGTCAGAGTTTAAATTCAGAACTTTGGGTTTGAGGGCTTAGGGTTTGGAGGGCTCAGGGGTTAGTGCTTCGGGCTTAGGGTTTCGGATATGAGTTTCGAGGGTTAAGAAATAAGTCGAAGAGGCAGGGACAGAACGGCAAGAATGGTGACTGCAGCTACTGGCTGAGCAACAAGCACAAGGCCCGAATGGATAATCACAAACATCACACCTGGAGACATACAGCCAAAGAAGCATGGAAACCCCCGCTTTCACACCCAAATGAACTACACCAACAGTATGGTAGCATGCCCATGCAAACTAAGGCGATGCCGAGGAGGATAAGAATAATGATTAGGACGACGATTGTGGGTCCGACGCTGAGGGTCGTCATGATGGTAGCGGCGCTGACGAAGAAACATAGTTGGAAACGAGACAAGCTACTCTGCAGGACATTGATGCTGGTTGCCATGAATGTAAGCTGCCAGCAGCCGCTTCGTCTGACTCCTGGCCCACAGCTCTTTGCCAAAGCTACCCTGCCACTCTGCCTTGGCATGTGTGGAGACAAAAAAACTCTAGATTGATACTCCGAATCCTACGCTCCTAAAGAAAATCCGCGGCCTCTAGTTGCGTCTCCCGTCGGCAAATGGGACCTGTGAGCAGCAAAGTTGCAGCGACCAACTCTTAAGTTCTTGCATTCTTGAAAGCCCGTGAAGATGCCGAAGCAAAACCCTCGAGGCAGCGGCACTGTGTTATGCGATATTCCCCCGGCTGGAAGGCAATCGGACCTCAGCCATAGCTCGCCTATGCGAATTTCCCCGGTGGCTCGGGGCGTCATATGATCTTGACTTTTCACGTTGGCTCCGTTCCATTCCACTGGGAGCCCAACCGAGAACAAAGCACTTCCAACAGAACCTGCACTTCGCACTTGCAGAGTCTTGCATTCGACTTCACCTAGCTATGCTGCATGCATTTCCTGCGCCGCAGTCGTCATGCCAGGCAGATTCAATGAGGAGCATCGGGTTGTTGCCCCCCCCCCCCCGCAGCCCCAGACCGCATTCAACAACCCCGGTATACAAGCCTGTGTTTGCAAGAGAGCTCCACCATATCGGAGATGGTGTCGAGGCAGATAGGACACTGTTGAGGCTCCTGCTGAGCAGATCTGAGCAGTCGACGTTTTTGGGATAAAGATGGAATGCTAGAGCAGGATTTCCTAGGAGGTCGGTCTTTGGGATAGGTTTTGCCGTGCTGCTTGTGCACGTCTCGACAACAGAAACAAATAAGTATGTATCTGTATCATTCTGTATCTGTGCCACTTCAGCTTTTGCCAACTAAATTATGCACACGCACGTACGGGCATACATGCGGTCATCCATACATGCATACACACGCAATACGCATGCCATGGACAGGGATCGCACGCATGTCGGAATGAATCTCGGTAACTGTAGATTCATGTGCAACACTTGTTCGTGTTTCTTTTTATCTACTCAATTACTTTGTATGGTTCGTATGAAGAAGCTTGTGGGGCAGGCTTCTGCACATACGATTACTTTCCGGCTTGCATCTTGTTGCACAAACTCCCTCGCTCTCTGTGGAATCCTCACAGCATCTACTCCCAGCTTAGCAACAGGACCGAAAGCGCGCCTGATTGGACTGTGACCGATATGCTGCATGCTCGTATCCAGCATCCTGCAAGACAGTGCGCTTCACATGTTATTGGGCATTGTGCTGCTGGAAGAACCAAAGTATAATTACGTCAGGCATAGCTGCAAAAGCTGTGTGCCGTTGCCAGGGCCCGCGTGGCGCGAGGTGAAATGCTCTGATCTGACGTCCGCCTGGATAAAGCATCCGAGTGCCTACTTGCAGAGTTTGTCATGATTACCTGAGTCGATTCTTATCCCATTAGTCTTTTGCCCGTGCCTTTCGTTGCTCCCGAAGCACCCAATTCAGCGATCGCGTTGCAGACTTGGACCTACCTTATGTCAACACAAACCCATCGATTTTGGCCGCCACCTCTGGCAGGATCTCCGAAAGAACCAGCCTGAGAAAGCCAACAACACAAGAGGCAAAGGCCTCCTCGTCTTGTCTTTGTGTTAGAGCTCTCTGTTCATCGATTCCTGTCCTCTTCACATTGGCAGATATGCCATGTACATGTTGTTGATGATGAAAATGATGAGGAGGATCGACAGTTGTCACACTTCTACCCTGCAACTGCTAGTGACCAGTACAATTGTACTCACCAAGACGTCACTAAAAATGAACCTCTTTCTGTCCAGGGTCGTACCAGTATTTTGCTTGATGCGAAGCTGCGGCCCCTGCATGTGCCCCAGCGATTCGACGGAAGCGTGGAGCTCCGCGAAGTCAGAGCCGCTGAAGAAGCCTTGTCCTTGACAGCAGAACGCTTCAGAAGGTTGTGGACCTGTTGTGGGTTCACGGCATGAGCAGAGCACTTGAGGTAGCACGCATACTCATCCGAATGAATACTACACTGTAATCGGCAGATGGGTTTTAGGTTATGAGCAATGGTCCGTTGGAGCAGCGTGGTTAGGGTTCTTTCGAAAGGTTTAGCTTACGCTCGGTGGAGTCTGGGTCGCCGGCGCGACAGCCATCCGGCTCTCTCTGCAGCCGTGTCCTCGATTCCGAAGCCTCTGCCGACGTCGGATCAGAGTCAGACTATCCATGGGTCTGTTGCCGGATCGGTCGATGCCAGTTACGCCTGTTCTGTAACACGATTTTCGCTCACAACAACAATGGGTCATCAGGTGAAGCTTTTCCAGGGGGGCCGGATACTTTTGAGCACACAATCATGTTGCACACGGAGTACAAGACCTATGAAGAGGCTGATGAGCCCTCTTCAGGGCGCCCGGCTGGTTTGCTTGCGGCGCTTCTTGAGGATTTTCACCTGGGTCTGCGGTTCGCAGGACTTCTCCCGACTAGTACAATCAGAATCACGAAGGTCTATAGGAAACTATTCTTCCTCCTTCGGCTGACCTTTCACACAAATCTACTTCTCCAGCGGTTGTCACTAATTCGGGTGGGAAATCTGTTGAGTGCGAAGGCCAGCATTCTGAGCCTTGGGGTGCAATGACCGAGACACGAGGTCGAGGACTGCGACGAGAGACAAGCGTGCCGGGTGAGGATAGCGGCGAAGAGTCCGAACTGTCACACACACACACACACACACCAACCGATAGCTCGCAAATTAAAGACTGTATCAACACAAAACACAGCAACGCGAAGCAGCAGCTGCTGATGCTACGTATTCTGAGCCGCTTGGTGGGCACATATGCATACGAAGGAGTGAGAGAGATGGAGAGACAGAGAGAAAGCGAAACCAACAAAAAGAAACAAGAGCGAGATTTAGAAATTCAGGAATGACGACTCCAGACAGCGCAAGGCACGACCGTACAACCTGTGTGCAGCCCAGGTCCCGCATGTAAGACCCTAGCAACTGCAACTGCATTCCAGACAGCATATTTCCGTAGCTGGTCCACCTGACGATCAAGAAGCCGAAGCGGAACGACAGATTGCAAAGCCACAGTACTCTCTGTGGAAGGGTTCTAGTCTAGCAAGGCCGAAATGGCAACACCCAGGCCTCGTCTCCTACAGTCTCACCTCGGTGACCTCCTTCGTACCATGATCCCATCCCACCTCCTGGAGAATGTCCACCAGCTGCCTGGGAGCAAAACTGGTTCACCCATAGAGTCCCTAAACTCAGAGACCGTTCTGAAAGCTGTGTACCGATGCTCCTACACCCGCCAGACAGCCGAAGCTGGAAGCTCTGAAGTGCTCCTACGAGTATTGGATACTTCTCTCCTCGGATAGATGATGGGACGTAGTAGGTACTGTACCAGGTGAGCTACATTAGGATTGAGTCCCGAGTGGCAACAGGTGACTGGACGTCCCACTGAGGGGAGGCGAGACGTGACCACAAGCAACGACAGAAGCCAACAGCAGCAGCACTTGAAGAAGCTAAGTTCGTCAGTTCTACCTTCAGCCCAAATCCTCTCGCATGGGAGGCTTCAACCTTTACATTTGCTGCCACAATCGATTTTGTGTACAGGACCCGCCTCATTCACTCAGACAGGTCTTTTGATGCCAATTCGGGTCCGAGTTTTGGGAAACATCTTCAATCCATGCCTGTCATACAGAATTCGACATTGACGATGTCTAGAAAGCTTCGAGGCGCAAAGGCTTGAATGGAGAAAGCGAGCACTCGCCTCCTCGGACTGGTAATGTTGGTCTACAGGTGCGCATGTATTGAGCAAGTGTGTGCACACCCCTCGAATCAGCGGCGGCAGTAACGAAAGACAGCACATCAGCTGCTGATGCAAATGTTTAAAGGCGCACCTCATCGCGTCCGCCCGGGAAAAGGCAACGCCGCCTCGCTCAGTGAGATGAGGGGCTCCATTTGACTTCAAACACAGCAGATGCTAGAGTCGCAGATGCGCCCACGGGGCCCACAGTGTAGAATTTCTTTGGGTGTTCCATGCCAAAAAACTGTGCCCCACAAGAGGAGGGCTTTTGTGGCTTTCAAAATCTTTCATGTATGAATCTGTATATATATATATATATGTATGTGTATAAATTAGCGCTGCGTACTCCTCTGAAAGCATTGAAATGGAAAATGGTGTGTATATATATATATATGCTA